GACGTTGCTTGTATTGTGATCTATATATATACCTGCATGCTTGCTCTTGTAGGTAGAGATCACTGTGCTGTTGTTGTTCTATATATATCTCTGCATGTGAACTGGCCTTGTGGCCTCTTGCTTGTGCTCAGATTGCGTGGTGACGTTGTGATCCACCCTGAGCTTGCTTTGCACTTCCCGGCTGGTCTTGTGACCCTCTGTTCTCCCCCACTTTGCTTATGGGGGTGTGTCAAACATATAGTTATATATTATAGTTTGGGTAAGCTTTAGTGGGGTACTCACTTCGGGGTACAACCCCTTAGGTTATATTTTTGTACCAAACTCTCGATAGTCAATTCCATCCTTCCCTTTACTCTCGACAACCTAATCTGCCCATAGGTTTTTCCAGACCCGTTCCCTAACCACAGGAGCAGGGGTTAAAAAATGGGGGTTGGTTTTGCCCGTGGTTTAGTGTACAATGGTATGCCAGTGCACATTGAACAAAGGAGAAATAGGCCTAAACCAGTTTGGGAATTTCAAGCATCCGAAGCAGGTCCGAGCTCGGTCGGATAACGATCACTCTACGCTTTTCCCAAGACGAGCATGATTTACCGCCAAACTGGCTCCAATATCTTGCCCGTTGCTGGCGAGTTACCCTTGCTATTTAGCATAACCATTGATACGCGTGAATGCAATCATGTATGTGGCACAAAAACTAGACGCTCTCCATGTGGACACTCGCCCCTACAAGTCTTTGCACAGTGAGGAGCCATAGCTAGGGTTTAGCTAGCTAGGCAAGAGAGAAATGAACAAAGGAGGGGTTTCACTAGCAGTAGTTGGGATACATATAGCAAACCCTAACAGGGTTGTACGCGCTATAGAGCACCCCACTACAGGCTAGATAATAACATTCTGACACACCCCCATAGCCAAAGTGGGGTGTAATCAGCAGAGCACGCAGTCATAAAGCAGGTTCACAATTACAAGCAAAGCTAGAGGCTATCACAGAGGGCAAATGAGGAGGAGGAGGAACTATGGAAGGAGAGAAGATGGGAGGCAACGACTGAAGCTGCAGAGGCACGGGCACAGGAGCGGCTGACTCTGTGGCTACCGAAGCAAGGGCGACGGACTACTGGAGTGACTGGCTCCACGGCTAAGACGAGCGGCAGGAGCAACGGACCCACTGGCGACTGGTGCAACAGGCTCACTGGCTACCGAAGCAAGGGCGACAGACTACAGACGCTGCAGGCGACACGACAGCTACCTCCACTCAACCTCCTCCAACTGACCCACACCCTTGACACACACCCCCTGCTGCACCCCTAGCTCCACTCCCACGACACCCCCCTAGCACCACTCCTTCGGCTCCCACACACCCACCCCCCTGAGCGGCAGCTGCAGCAACGGGAGACGGAGGAGGAGGAGGAGTAGTAGAACGGCGCACAGAAACTGCACCCCCATACCCCCACCCCCAAACCCTAATTCAGGAGAACGGGCAGCAGCAGGGGTGGGGCGCCGTCAGAAGCACGGGGGACAGCGGGCAGCTCAGGGGCAGAGAGGAACGGGCCGCCCACGGGCCTGGCACAGCCAGACGAACCGCGCGCAGGCGGCCCGCCTGGCGCAGCCCGTACGGGCCGCGCGCGGGCCTGGCGCAGCCCGTACGGGCCACGCTCAGGGCTAGCGCAGCCCGCGCTGGCCGGGACGGGCGACGGGGGACGACGGGCTGGTCCCCGTCGCCCGTCGAAGCGCCCCCCGGGGGCGACGCGCGAACCGACGGGGCAGTAGGCCACCGCGCGCCTCGGGGCGCACGGCGGGCAGAAAAACCGCCGCACGCTCCGAGCGCGCGGCGGAAGAAAAATCCGTCGCATGCCACGGGGCGTGCAACACACAGAATAGCAGCGGAAGCAGTTAGGTGGGCCCACGGGCCAAGAGCGTAGATGCTCTGATACCATGTTAAAAGAGTAAGCACAGTGAGGAGCCATAGCTAGGGTTTAGCTAGGTAGGTAAGAGAGAAATGAACAAAGGAGGGGTTTCACTAGCAGCAGTTGGGATTCATATAGCAAACCCTAGCAGGATTGTACTCGCTATAGAGCACCCCACTACAGGCTAGATAATAACATTCTGACAGCGTGTGCTACGTATGGTAGGCTACTATGGAGTAACAGAGCGACGGAACGGTACTAGGTTAGGCTAGGCAACAGAGCACGGGCGGGATTAGGCTAGGCTAGGAGCGTACCTACTCATGATACCATCTCATAAATGAACAGCGGAATGGTTGAGTAGTTAGGGAAAGGGAATACAAGTCAAGTGTGGAGAGAATGATATAACCCATATTGTGAACATGACTGCATGCTAGAATCCTAACAAGCATATAAACAATATTTGACAGTCAGCCCTAAACATTTCCACCGAACACTACCGGGCACTAGATGACGCTACCGGGAACTGTTAGGGCTGGCCAGAAAAAATAAGACCCTAGGGAACCTAGACGCATTTTTGGGAGGGATAAACCCTAGAAACAACCGCATCATTTTTTGGGTTGATGCCTCCCAGGGTCGCATAACTGCGTTGAAGGTGCGCTGCTTCCACGCCCTGATCGAAAACTGGGCAGTAACCGTGCGTGATCAACTCAAAAACCTTTGTTTTATCCATACCGTATGTTATTGTACAACATGGTTTGATTCACTTGGTTTTACTTTTTGAACTTTAACTACAGTTTCTTTCTGCACTTCTAATCTGTTTGCTGTTAGCGGGCTGCAGGTTCGGAAAAGGTACCAACCACTGCCACAGTGCGGCTCGGACCAGCGCAGAAAAGAAAGCACTGTGTCAAACAGAGCCTCAGTTCCGTACTGCTCTTGTACAGTACTACGTCGGCTCAGGGTGCTTCCTAGACTTAGGCAGGGGTGGAAAGGAGCGCCCGATTTTTGCTGAGAGATGACCGACTTTGGTTCGGCGACTATGGGTCGGCGAGGGTGAGTGCCGATCCATCCGGCCTCGCGTGCCCGGGGTTACAGACGCGGACTCCCTTCGGGCCTGGCGGGGCTTGGGCAAGGTTCGAGAGGACCGGGGCCGTCGAGAGTGGGCTGGAGTCCATCGCGACCTAAGATATCTGGGGGGCGCGCTGCTGATACTATCAGGGGAACCACAACTTCCCCGTCTTCCCAGCTTGGTGCTGGGTTATTTTTCGGGCGCCCGCGCGGGGTGACGGGAAGGTCGTGTCCTTTTGCCCCTCGAGGTGCTGCGCCCGACGGTCCCCGGAAAAATAGTGACGCGAGGCAACACTAGACCCGGGGTCCAATTTTTTCCCGACCTTACTCTGCCGCGGCTTTCAGCACTTCCAAGCCGCTATAGATAGAAATGGGTGCGACACCTCCTGTCAGCCATACAAGGAACCACCTTATTTCTCACTTCCGTCAGCAGCCATGCTTTTCTATCGGGATCTGATTTCCGGTACGTTGCATGCTATAGGATGTCCGATGCGGCGAGTTTCCATACATGCGAGTTTTTTTCAATATTAATCTCAATTTGATTTTCATTCGTGTTATTAGGTGACGACCTGTTGTCCAGCGCTCTTGAAATCGAGGAGACCCACAACGGCATCTTCTACGAAGTCGAGAGCCAGGTGCGATCCTAAGAGATCTTATTCCGTCGGTTGCGATGCTAAGGGATCTTACCTTGTCAGTTGCGATCCTAAGAGATCTTACCCCGTCAGTTGCGATCCTAAGAGATCTTACCCCGTCAGTTGCGATCCTAAGAGATCTTACCCCGTCAGTTGCGATGCTAAGAGATCTTACCCCGTCAGTTGCGATCCTAAGAGATCTTACCCCGTCAGTTGCGATCTTAAGAGATCTTACCTAGTACTTCAAGAAGTTCTTTGTCAGCACAAATGATCGCACGCGTGTAGCTAACCAGATCTTATCGTTGTCTGGATGACATTGCGATCATGTGTACATGTGCAGTGGCTGGAAAAGAGCCGTGGCGAGGACGAGGAGGAGGAGGGTGAGCCCGAGAAGGTCGTGAATATTGTCTCCATGTTCAACCTACAGGCACGTTAACAATGATCATACTAAGATTATAATACTAGTGCCAAGCCATTTCTTACTAGGGTTGCTCTAGTTACGGTCAAAGTTTTCATGATCTGTGCTAGCCATCGTCGCTTTCGAATGCTCTTCTTATATGCCTGACCATCCGTTGCCTCCGCATCCGTGTTAATTTTTTCTCTTTTTTTTTGTGAAGTGCAGGAACTACCACCATTTGACAAGAGGGCGCTCGGCACTTACCTGAAGAATTACATGTATAAGCTCACAAGCCTGGTTTCTGATGAGAGGAAAATGGATCTTAGGGCGCACGCGTCCGATGCTGCCAATTGGCTCTTCTCCAATCTCGCTGACCTGAAGTTGTACGTTTTCGGCCGCAACTTCCCACTCTCCCTTATCTTTCCCTCTACCTCCCCCCATCCCGCACTACCCCTAACCTCGAGCCTTGCAGCAATCAGATCGGTCTTGTCAACATATTCCCTGCTCTCTGATTGATTGATTGATTTGTTGTTTTGTTTGTTTGTTTGTTTGTTATTCCTCTCATGCAGCTTTGCTGGTGAGAGCATGAGTTTGGAGGATTTGGACGGCTCACTCGTTTATGCTTACCACAAGGATGGTGCTGCCAATCTCACCTTCATCTATTTCAAGGATGGCCTGAAGGAGGGAAGACTATAAAGATGTGCTTTGTCTGTCCAACATGGCTCCAAATTCAGTAACGTTTACGGTACCAGAAGTTCCCAACTAGTATCCTCACAGAGACCAGAGGTCTTGCATCCGCAGAATACTGTAGCCTCCTTGCAAATTAAAAAGGTCACAACTATGGCATCTGTGATTTGTCAAATGCACATGAACCTAATTTGTCCAAAGCCAATTTATAACCTGTCAAAGTAAATAGGTGGGGGATCAGTTATGTGAACTGAAACCACCATTCCGCAATCAGCGCCTCGTGGCCCTCTGAGCGAATCTTGCCTGCTACATACCATATCATGCAAATCCAAAGCTGTGAACAATATATGACGTGCTCACGAGAGTGAGCAAGCGCATACGCATCATCTCTATGCTCTCATATGGGGGTAGCAGAAACTGATGAAAGCACGTGTGTGCCGTGGGCAGGCGCGAAAGATCCACATCTGCCCGATGCAGATGAAACCCCATCGCCAACCCCTTGAATCCGTTCACGGGCAGATTCGAAACAGCAGTCGCAAAAAACAGCAGCGACTTCCGCTGCTCACCCGAAAGCGACTCCACAACTTCCCAAAACCACAAAACTTGGGGATCTTCCGGACAATACCCGTGGTACACCGTGTGTGCCTGCCAATCAGAGACCGCCACGTGGCGGTCCTCCCCGTGGAGAAGCAAATTGAGATCATCGCATGAAAGGGGAGCGAGCATGGCAGCGAGACTCACGCCTTCAATCGAATCACCGCAACAATCATCATCCTTGTGGATCGACAGGTGTTGTTCCTCATCTCTCTCAAAGCCACCTCCCAATCCTCCCAAACTCCCTTCTGTTCCACCCATCCCTCCTTTCCCATCCGTCCCTTCCCTTCCTTCCACCACATCTCCTTTCCCTACAATCACATCCCGCCCTCCTCCGCTCCCCAATATATCCTCCATGCCTCGCCGCAACGCCTCCCCCTCCTCCTCCACCACCCCGCACACTCTAAACTGCACCATCCGCTGCACAAACTCCGCCACATCATCAGCACGAACCACTCGCTCGCTGCCACCTGGAACAAGCTCTGCTTCGATTGGTGCCCCCCCCATCGGATCCTCTACCGAAGCCACGAAGGTGAGACACAATGACTCCACTCCTCCTCCTTCTCTTCCTCCTCCTCCCTGTGCTGCTTCTTCCCTCTCCCTTTCAGCCATAGCCAGCAAAGACCGACAGCTAGCAACAAGCTGGGGATCATCATCAGCAGCATCAGCCAGTGAGGGTGTGCAAGCCGCAAGCAACACAAACAGGGACCGAGACAGCTTCACTCCTAATGGGACCTGATGCGCCAAAGCAAGGGCCAGGATACGTCCGGCAAATCGAAGGTACTCCTTAGCTTCGGCAGGGTTGGCTCGGGAGGCCAGGGAGAGGGAGAACCGGCTCGGGTCGTGAGGTACGGGAGAGAAGAGGCCCAGGTTCGGGTCGAAGAGGTGTGCCCGAACGAAGGCGAAGAACTCCCGAAGCACTCCCGGACCTGCGGCCCCACCCTCGCCTGTGAACCGAACGTCCAAGCCTCCGGTTCGGAGGGCTGTTGGGTCCGCAGAAAGGATTTGAATGAAGGCCTGGTGAAGGGCTAACGGGCCTCGTTCAATCTGAGGGTATGAGATAGAAATGAGAGACGGAAGGGGAAAAGAATGAGGAATAGGTATGGGTTCTCTTTGGTTCGGAGGTCTGTTGGTTTCGCGGCGAGGATCTGAATGAAGGCCTGGTGAAGGGCTAGCGGGCCTCGTTCAATCTGAGAATAGGGATAGAATGGGTTGGTGAAAAATAGGAAAATGAGGAGGAGGGAGGGATGAGACAGGGAGTTCATTGAGCTTATGTGTACAGATTGAGTTTCAAATCCTTCATTACTAAACAAAGAGTGCATGCGCATACAAGCACATGCGCACACGCGCGCCCGCCCGCCTGCAGGCATGCACACACACACACACACCCGCACAACACCCACCTGAATGAACTCTTTGTCCCGGTAGTCGTCCCGGGGGGGAGGTAGGCACCACTGCACCCAGCTCCTCTTGCCCTCCTGACTTAGCAGCTCACTCCCACTACTTTCACTGCTCTCACTGCCCCCACTACTTTCATCGCCACCACTTCTCTCACTGCTCCCACTGCTTTCCAACCCCCTCCTCCTGCCAATTCCTGCCCTGCCTATTCCATCCGCCCTGCAACTCATCCTACTGCAGCAGGAGAAGGGAGACGGAAACATGCGTTCTAAAGGCTGCAGCATCCATGCAAGAGGCATGCCTCGGTTCCCATACATCAGCACTTCCTCCCATGCCGGAAACGGTATAGCTCTTTTCTTCCCATCCTCTCCATCCTTCCCATCCTCACCATCCCTCCCATTTTCCCCACCATTCCAACCATCCACATGCAGTCCCCCTCCTCCCCTTGTCCACACTGACTTCTCCTCGTAAGCACGCTCCTGGGCGGGGATTTTTGGCTGGGACTGAGAAGGAATGTGTGTGGAGGCGGACAGGGTAGCGGGCGGTGTAGTGAGGTTGAGGAGGAGCGAGGGGTGGAGCGAAGAGGAGGAGGAGCAGCGGGCAGAAAATGAGCTTGGAGGGGCCATAACATTCGTCTCTGATGCAGTGAAGTTGTGAAGGAGTGAGGGGTGGAGCAAGGAGGAGGAGCAGCGGGCGAGAGAGGCTGAGAAGAGAAGGCTGAGGATGTGGCTATGGCGACGGGCGAAGGAGAGGAACTGATGGGGGAAGGACCATTTGAAGGAGGAGAGAGAGGTGTTGATTGCTGCTGATAGACATGCATCCGCAGCAAAATCAGCAGCAGCATCAGCAACAGCATCGACGGTGGCAACAGCAGCAGCAGCAGCAGCAGCAGCACCATCACTACCAGCAGTTACGGCAGCGACAACAGCAGTAGTAGCAGGAGAACTATCAATAGCTGCAGAATCAGCAGCACCACCACCATCACTATCACCACCAGCAGCAGACACCGCAGCAGCAGCATCACCACCACCACCATTATCACAAGCAGCGGCAGCACAAGAAGCCAAATACAATGCTCCAAGCAGCATCACCAGCTGGTCAAATTGCGACTTATCCCGAAGAAGCTTCCCAGAAGATTCCGGAGAGAGGGGGGGCTCGAAGGGCCAGGGCAGGGGGAACCCGTGGGGTGGTATGCGGTGGAGTGGGATTAAGGAGAGGAGGCAGGTGTGGAGAGAGGAGAGGAGGGCGGAACAGGAGGAAATCAGAGGGAAGAAGTGAATCAAGGAGGGAGAGTGAAAGCTTTGTGATGGAAAGTGGGTTGAGATGGATTGTGAGGGTGAGTGTGAGTGTGAGTGTGAGTTGAAGGAGGAGGGTTCCCAAACTGCTTGTGGTGTTGCTAAGGGCGGAGAAGCAACAGTATTCCTACTCCGTGCTTCCCTCTTAGATGCCATTTCCACAGCTGCTGTTGGTGCTGTTGCTGCTGCAATCTCTACTGCTGCTACTTCTCTTGCTGATAGTGCTGCTGCTACTGTCATATCTCCTACCTCTTCATCTGCTGCTGCTGCTGCTGCTTCCATGCTCCGCATTGGCAGTCTTCGTGCCCTAACGTTTTCACGCTTTGATAAATGCCAATCAGGAACTGCCACATCAGCGTCCACCGAAAGCACCTGGCTTTGCTTCAACACTGGTTTCACCCGCCTTCCGCCTCCACCTGACGGCACCTGAAAAGCACCTGAAGTATCCAAAGGCACTTGGGAAACAGCGGAGCGCGCCCCAAAAGAACCTGAAGGCACCTGAAAACCACCTGAAGGCACTGCACAAGCATCGCAAGCCACCTGAACAGCATCTGCTGCTAATTTCCGTCTCTTCCTGGCTCCACAGGCACTGAGAAAAGGAGGCGCTGCCGGTGGCAATGATGGCACTGCGGGTGGCAATGATGGCACTGCGGACGGGAATGAAGGCACTCTTGGCGCCAATAACTGCTGTGGAGGCAGCACTGGAGACTGAGAGGGGAGAGACTGAGAGCGCAGTGGCGTTGCTCTCTTCTCCTGCAGCGGTTCACTCAGAGGCACATTCAAAGTGTCATTCCGGCTCAAAAAGGAGGAAGGTATAGGTTCATGCAGCAGCAGCAGGAGGAGGACAGGCAGGCAGGCAGACAGCAAGGCAACGTCGGTTTCAGGGAGTGAGGAGGAGAGGGAGGAGAGAAGGGCGCATGCCTCTCTCGTGGACATGTAAACAGGTGCACTGCCCTTGCTGCTCTCTTTTTCTCCTGGGCCCTTTCCTTCCATGGTTGCTCCCCTTGCTTCCTCTCCTGCTGCTGCCCTTCCTTCCTCTGCTTCTTCTGCCCTTCCTTCCCCGGCAACAGATGCCATCCCTTCCCCTGCTGCTGACACGCCTGCTCCTGCTCCTGCTCCTGCTGCTGCTTCTGCTGCTGCTGCTTCAGAATGGGAGCGCGAAGAGGCTTGGACGGCAGCTTCTGTGCGCTGTAAGCACTGGAGAAGCAGCAGGGAGAGTGATGAGACTGCACTGCTGCTGTTGTTGCTACTGCTGGTGACAGCAGCAGCTGAAGTTGCAGCAAATTGTGCACCAGAAGGGCCGATATCCCTGGTTCCAGGAGCAGCAGCAGCAGAAAAGACAGGAGCAGGAGTGCAAACAGCGGGAAAACAAGGAGCAGCAGGAGGAGCAGCGACAGCAGCTGCTGCTGCACCAAAATCAGTAGCATCAACGATATCAGCGTGTAGTAGCAGCTGCTGGGAGCACTGCAGTGGGCGGAGCTCAGAAGATAGGCGAGCAAGGGCGTGGCGGCACGTGTCAAACGCACAGCCCAGATGAGTCTGAGTGGCGGACAGCGGATGTGCATGACTGGTCGACAGAGGTTGCAGTTGAAGGTTAGTTAGATGATACGGGTGGAAATGGGCCCTGGTGTTGGGTGGAATTGGAGAGTGAGCGTGGGGCGAATTTGCTGTGGCAGTGACAAGGCGGGATGCGATGTGAAGGAGGAGTGGGACGAGACAATGCTGTAGCTGGAGCGGGGAAAGGGGAAGCAAGAAAAGGAAGGAGGAAGGGTTGAAGACGAGTGAGGGACGGGCATATGGCAGATTTATGGAAAAAAACATCATCTGTGCCAAACTGGAACACAAAAAGAAATCATTGATCGTTTGCAGGAAATAGGTGGAGAACTGAAGGCTATAGAGGAAGAGTACTGGATATACGCAGGCAGGAGACAAGCAAAGCACGGCATAGGCACAAAGTAAACAGAAGATAAAGCGAAGTACCTTAGCTTCTTTGGTGGAGGCAGGAGGCCTCGTGAGCACTCGAATGCATTCAGCCCCGCACTCAGCATCTGCTGCACACCCTGCAGCACCGCACTCCACCTCCGTGCACCCTCCACCGCTCCTGCAACATGCAGGCTGCTCTGCTAAGAGCAGCGCTAGAAGAGCATCGGCAGGAGTTGGACACGACACAGAAGCAGCAGTGGCAGGAGCAGCAGCAGCAGTACGGGGGGCAGCAGCAGGGACAGGCGAAGCAACAGTGGCGGAAGCAACAGCAGCAGTAGCAGCAGGAGAAGCAGAATCAGACGCAGCGGCGGGAGCAGCAGTTGCAGGGGCAGAAGGTTTAGAACGGTTTGGTCTGGTATGACATGGGTTTGAAACGGCTGGAATGGGTGAGATGAAGAAAGCAGAGACGAGCAAAGGCAGCTGGGAGGGCTTGATGCGCGAGGAGGAGGCGACGAAGCGAGAGACGGCCTGAATGATTGTTGAGCGGAGATGACGGGATTCCTGAGTGGAGGAAAAAAAGGGGGAGTTTGGGGAAGGAAAGTGAAGTTGACCTGAACTGAGGAGTTTTGAGACGTCTCGAGAGTTTGGGGAAGGAAAGTGAAGTTGACCTGCACTGAGGAGGCAACAAAGCGAGAGACGGCCTTGATGATGGTGGCGTGGAGTTGAAGTGACTCCTGAGGGACGGGGAGGGAGGAAAGCGAGGGGCTGTGGAAGTTGGCCTGTCGTGAGACAAGGATGCAATGAAGCGAGAGACGGCCTGAATGATGGTGGCGCAGAGATGGCGTGACTCCTGAGGTTACGGGGAGGAAGGGGAGGAGGGGAAGAGAGGAGGGGGGGGGGGAGTGGAGGAGAAGGGAAGGGCAGTGTGGGATTGACGTGGGATGAAGCGAGAGACGGCCTGAATGATGGTGGCGCGGAGATGGCGGGACTCCTGAAGGGGAGGGGAAGGGGAGGGGAAGAGAGGGGGACGGGGGGGAACGAAGAGGCGAGGCGAGGAACGGAAAGATGGTTTTGGTTCGGCATGGGCCAGAATGCATTGGTTCGGGATGGCTGGAGTGTGTGGGATGAAGACGGCAGCGACGAGCAGCAGCAGCTGGGAGGGCTTGACGCGCGACGAGGAGGCGGCGAAGCGAGAGAATGACTGAATGATGGTGGCGCAGAGATGGCGGGATTCCTGAAGGGAGGGAAAGGGAGGGTGGGGAGTGGGACGGGTTAGGGAAGGGAAGCAGGCTTGACGCGAGACAACGAGGCGACGAACCGAGAGACGGCCTGGATGATGGTGGCGCAGAGATGGCGGGATTTCTGAGGGTAGGAGAGCGGTGGGGAGTGGAAAGAGGGAGTGGATAATGGGGAGTGGGGAACGGGGAGTGGGGAACGGGGAGTGGGGAACGGGGAGTGGGGAATGGGGAGTGGGGAACGGGGAGTGGGGAACGGGGAGTGGGGAACGGAGAATGCAGAACGGCCACGGGTATGTTCCAAATTTCGAGAATAAAACGCACTGTGAATGGGAAAAGTATGTACGAAGTTGCCTACTTTCTCTCACTTTGCACGAAGCAACTCCGTACCAAGTGAGAGAAAGGATGCTTCATGAAAGTGAGTTAAAATATGTACCTTGGGATTAGGAGGTGGAGTGGACGGATGGCCGTTGGAGCTCGGATTCAGGTAAGGCGACGCGGGAAGAAGCTTCCGCGCAGGTTCCACTAATTCTCTCAAAAGCATGGTCTGAGCCTGCTTTGCTGCTAGTGAGGAGGAGAAAGAGGAGGAGAAAGAAGCGGAAAAAGAGGAGGGGACGGCGAGCGGTCTAGGAGGAGGCGAAGACGAAACGGGAAGGAACGAAGAGCTTGGAGCAGCTGGGAGTGAAGACGAGGAAACCAAGCGGTCGTCAGGATAATTACGACGTTCTCTCATTTTTTTGCTGGACGAGCAGGGGTCCCAATCCCTGCGAGGCAAGAAATTATGGCCAGCCATAGTCACGACTCACGAGAGATAATAACAGTCATGCAATACTGGAAGCTATCACGTTCTACCATTATAACGGACGAAAGTCTACCTTGGTTGAGAATTACCATTTGGCTTGGGCAGGGGTGGTTGTCACTAATTTTCGCTATAAGGATCTTCGTTGGGAGTACGAAACGTTGGAAGGAAAGTCGTAACATGGTCGCATGCGATAAGATGCTGCGATGAACCCAGTTTGGGCGATCTCAGCGAAAGACCCTAGCTTCAGACTGGAGCGGCCAAACCAGGTAGAATGTGGGAGAGGCACCATAGAGAAGTTCACGAGGTGATTTCAAAATCGCTGTAGTTCGTACACTGCTCTTGTGCTCTGGGGGTTCGCGAAATTACCAGCTTATCTGGGTTGCTGCCATGACCTCGTCATGACTTTCCGCTTTGTGTCAGTGCCGCTTACAGCTGATTGGTAGGGTGTTACAATCTCTTCAACACTTACTCTTCAGTTGCGAAATGTATTTGCTAGAGGATGACCATAAATTAATGAGGGAGCTTCTAGCGCATATATACTATCTATCCAGCACTCTGCTGGTTTCTTCGCGCGCGAATATTTGAACCTGACCACTCCAGTTCGTTTCCGCGGCTCGTCAGAGATAGGAAACAATCAGGGCTTTTCACATGTTTCGAAGCATTGCCCTAAATTATCGGTCAATCTTGTGTGTATTCCGCATAGCAATCAGGTATTGCATGGGGTGACTTTGCCCAGTCGTGGTCGCGGGTTCCGTTATGGTCCGGTTGAATGAGGAGTTTTGTCGTCCCTTCTGAAAGGTTCATTCGACTCGGATGACTGTAATATGAACCATGCATTGAGCAAATGCTCAACAGTACGAATGAAAAACTTGTGGTAGGCAGGGCAGCCTAGGTCAAAGGAACCTCTCCACCCATTCAATCCCAACTTCGAACCACATCCTAGGAAGTTCAAACCCAAGACAACTCCTAGGCAGCTCCAATACATTTCTAAGACAAACTCCAAGACAACTCCTAGACAACTCCTAGGCAACTCCAAGGCAAAACTACTGCTAGAGTCCCGCTAGGTACCTGTTGGCTCACAAGTTGAACAGTTCTAATACTACTTCAGGGTAGTGGCACGATGCCGTTCAGCAGATCCCTTTAGATTACTGTTTAGCTTACATGGCTTCCGGTCTCGACGTGACGGCTTTTTTTAGCTTAGTAGAGGCTGGTTGTTGAGTTGACTTTAAGTAACCTCGTAGGCTTGCATCCTAGGGTCGCCAGCATCTCGCTGGCCTTATCGCCTTTTGAGCTGTTGAATTCGGTTTAACTGTTTACTGAACGCTAAGGACTTCAATCGTCAACCAAGAAAATACATTCATTTCTTACACTGTAAGGCCTTCACTTCCGACATATGTGACGAGGTGATAGTAAGCTTTTCCGACTTCGGAGTCAAGGCTCAGCTGACAATTTTCACCTGGAATATCTACATCCAGTGAATGAATCGTAGAAGCATCGTTCCAAGTAACGGACAGCAAGATTTGAAGTCTCGACGTTTCCCCATTCACCTCTTAAATGTTTCCTGTTTTTACCTTCCATTCTCTCCATTCTTCTCGCTTCTCCCCCAGTTTCAGGATGGAGAACATGGCTCCGTCGCCCGCTTCCGTAGGCCGTCACAGGTCCGCGGGACTGCAAAGCGGACCCAGCAAGGCTGAACCTCTCAGCCATCTGACACCGCTGCAAGGGGGTTCGTCGTCGTTGTTGCAGGCAGGAGGATCGTCGTCGTCGTCGTTGTCGCAGCGAGGCACGCCTAGAGCGGGGCTTGCGACGCTGACCGGCAACGTGCTCACGCCGCAGTCGCAGGCGTGTGAGTATTTGAGCCGTACTGCACTTGAGGCACTATGGACGATACTCCAATCACCCTCTTATGTTGATACGACCATCTCTTGTTTTTGTCATCCTTCCGTGCGTCTATTCGCGGCCGATTTCTGAGTCGACTCAACAGTCCGCACGTTGACCATGATTCATGCTTCATCCTTCCGTGCGTCCCTCTTTGCCAGGACCTACGCCGGTCATTTATCCTCCAAGGCACGTGAAAGTGACTATGTTTTGAGACGTTAAAAAAACGTGAATGTTCTTGCTGACCCGTTTCGTTATTCCTCCGTACATCCCAGGTCGCACCATCGCTGCCAGAACTTCGAGCAACATGAAAGCAAAATGATATCGAGACGTCTCAGAACGATTTCACTTTCCTGCGTCTCTCCTTCAGCCTGATTCATGCGTTTTCCGTCTGTGCGTCAATCTTCCCGCAGATCGCGATCGCTCCATTGCCGCCAATACTCCTAACACCTGGAGACGTCGCATCACCGTCGGTTTCCTCGTGGTTCGACGAACCATGCTAACAAGAACGAATTCCCCTTCTTGTGCCTCTAGTTCACTCTGATCATGCATTGACATCCGTGTGTCCCTCTACCCGCAGATCGCGATCGCACCACCGCTGCCAAGACTCCGCGCAGCGTGAAGTAACTGCTCTGAGACGTCTCAAAGAAATTTACTCTCTTGTGCCTCTGTTCACCTGATTCAAGCATCATCTTTCCGTGCGTCCCTCTACCCGCGGATCGCGATCGCTTCATCGCTGTCAAGAGTCCGCGCAGCGTGAGACGTCTCAGAACAAATCTAGGTTCTTGTGCGTCTGGTTCACCTGACTCATGCGATCCGTCCGTCTATGCGTCCCTCTCTACCCGCAGATCGTTATCGCACCATCGCTGTCAAGATTTGAGCAGCGTGAAACAGAATTTGCTCTGAGACGTCTCAAAGCAGTTTTACTTTTCTGCCTCTGATTTACCGGATTCATGCGTTATCCGTCCGTGCGTCCCTCTCTACCTGCAGATTGCGATCGCACCATCGCTGTCAAGACCCCGAACACTGCCACGAGGACTCGTCCCGTCCCCACGCGGTTATCAGCCGCAATCTCGGATGATTCCAACATCCAAGTAAGGAATCCAAGGGAAATTGGATGTCTCACATTTCATACATGGGCGAGGGTGATTTGAAGATTCAGAGGAATTTCGAATGCATGAGATGTCACGTTTCAGAGTCCTTTGCATGAGAGTGTGCGTTTGCTTGCTGCGCTGGATCATGGTTAGGACTCAAGCTGCCACTCTTTCTGGGCCACCTCCTTTTGTGTACCGACTTGAGTCGACTCAAAAGTAACTTCCGTTTCTTCTCTCTCCCCCCAAGTCGACTCAAACGTCATATCTATTTCTGCCCTCTCTCCCCACCCCCAACCGCGCGTCGCACCATCAGGTGATCGTGAGGGTGCGGCCGCCAGCAGGCCCTGAGCTGACAGGGTATTCCGAAGCCAAGTGTGTGGTACAGGACGGCTCTTGGTCGCTCTTTAGTTGACTTGATTGTAACCTCTTTTCTTCTTCTCTCCCCCTCCTCCCACCCCACCATCAGGTGATCGTGAGGGTGCGGCCGCCAGCAGGCCCTGAGCTGACGGGGTACCCCGGGGGGCGGTGCGTGGCACAGGACGGCCCCCAGTCGCTCTTTTGCCAACTCTAATTTCACCTCCGTTTTTTCTTCCTCTCTCTCCCCCCTTTACCCAAATCGCCCACCGTCAGGTGATCGTGAGGGTGCGACCGCCAGCAGGCCCTGAGCTGACGGGGTATCCCGGGGCCAAGTGTGTGGCACAGGACAGCCCCCGGTCGCTGTTCCTAGTGAACCCGGACAGGGCAGGCGCAGCGGAGCAGTTCACATTCGACCACGTGGCAGGGGAGAGCGCGGTGCAGGTGGGCGTGAGGATCAGGGATCGGGGGTTGTTGAATTGAAGGGTAGGGGAGAACGCGTCGCAGGTATGCGTGGGGATCAGGGATCGGGGGTTGTTGGATTGAAGGGTAGGGGTGAGCGCGTCGCAGGTGGGCATGGGGATGGGAGTGGCAGAGCTCTTGAAATGAAGGTCGAGGTAGAACCTATTGAAGGTACTCGTGGGAACAGGGGCACAAGACGGCCCCTGGTCGCTGCTCCTGGTGAACCAAGACAGGTTCTTTTCCTTCCTTCCACGTCTGGTCGTTGTTCCTTCCTTCCACCTCTCGCTTCTCCCCTCACTCGCTTCCCCCTCTCCCTTCCCCCTCCCCCTTCCCCCTCCCCGGTCCCTCTCCGTTGTCTACTCGTGCAGGAGGACCTGTTCGAGCTGGCAGGGAGGCCCATAGTCGAGAATTGCCTCTCTCTGAAGCGCCTCATAAGCCCCTTCCCCCCTTCTTGCCCCTTTTCCCCACTTCTCCTCGTGCAGGAGGATCTGTTCGAGCTGGCAGGGAGGCCCATAGTCTAGAATATCTTCTCTAAGCCCCCATCCCCTGCCACTCTCCCCCATTGCCCCTTTTTCCCCCCTTTCCCTGTGCAGGAGGCCTGTTTGAGCTGGCAGGGAGGCCATAGTTACAAAGCTCTTCTCTAAGCCCCCATCCCCTGTCCCTCTCCCTCGTTGCCCCCCTTCCCCCCTTTCCCTGTGCAGGAGGACCTGTTCGAGCTGGCAGGGAGGCCTATAGTCGAGAACTGCCTAGCTGGGTACAACAGCACTATGTTCGCGTATGGCCAGGTTCGTTGTATCTGCCATGGATAACGGTGGTTTCAAGGCTTCCCGTGTGTGGCATATGGCATGGTGGTATTTCCCCACCCGTCCCTCTTGCCTCTTCCCTATTCCCTGAACCCCCTGACAACATTTTTGAGGCGCCTCAAAAATCGTCTCAGTTTTGAGGCGCCTAAAAAATTGTGGCATATAACACGGTGGTATTCCCCCCCCGTCCCTCTTGCCCTTTCCCTATCCCCTGAACCCCTTGACAACATCCCCAGCAGTCTTATTCATGCAGTATCCCCTTCCTAGAGCATATCCTTGTTTCTTTCTTTCTGCATGCTCTCCCTCTACTTTTGAGATGTCTTAGATTGTCATCCTTTCATATTCCTTTTCAACCTTTTTGTATGCCCTCCCTCCCTCCTCCTGGCCACTCTCCTTTCCTCCCCCCGTTTGCCCACTCCCTCTTCCTCATGACACATCTCAGACGGGCAGCGGGAAGACGTACACAATGTTTGGAGCTGACGTGGACAAGGCTGACGTGGACAGATTGCGAGGGGATAACGCTGACGTGGAGGTCGGGTCGAGGTGGGGGATGATCCCGCGAGTCTTCCAGCTGGTCTTCGCCCTGATGCAACAGGTGCGTCTCAAAAAGACTGCACACCTCGCTGCCGGCACTCCTTGCTGCCTGCGTGCAGAACTTCTGGGGACCAGAACCTTGGGATTTCAAATCTGGATTGGGATCTTGATTGGAAATTTACGGCTACCTGATGTGGTTGCTTCTAAGCCGACTGAATATTGACAGCAGACCTTGCTTTAATTTGACAACTGTTCGTCTGTCTGCTACCTGTTTGCTGCTCTACTCTACCTTCCGTTTTTTAGTCGACTCAAAAACCCTTCATCCTCCTCCACAACCACACCTTCCTCATCCTCCCCTTCCCCTTCCTTCACTCTGTTTTTGAGTCGACTCAAAAATTTGACAACCGTCCGTCTGTCTGCTAGCTGTTTGCTGCTCTACTCTACCTTCCGTTTCACCATGCCCGTGTTTGAGTCCATCACACCTTCTTCCATCACCCTTCAACTCTTGCCCCCACCAACTCCATTTCTCCTAACCAGAGTCTCACTCTCCTTCTCCCTTTCCCAATGCCATCTCCCTTCCCTTCTTCTTGCCCCTCGTCTCTTCCTTTCCTCCTTCTCTCTTCCCACCTTTTATTCTTTCCCTCCTCCTTTCCCCACCTCTGTGACTTCCCTCCTCTCTCCACCTCTGTGTCTTCCCTCCTCTCCCCACCTTTGTTTCTTCCCTCCTCTCTCCACCTCTGTTTCTTCCCTCCTCTCCCCACCTCTGTTTCTTCCCTCCTCTCCCCACCTCTGTTTCTTCCCTCCTCTCCCCACCTCTGTTTCTTCCCTCCTCTCCCCACCTCTGTTTCTTCCCTCCTCTCCCCACCTCTGTTTCTTCCCTCCTCTCTCCACCTCTGTTTCTTTCCTCCTCTCTCCACCTCTGTTTCTTCCCTCCTCTCCCCATCCGTCAACCTTGCCAGGAGAAGCAGCAGAGGGCGGGCGAGCGCCTCACGTTCATCTGCACGTGCTCTTTCCTGGAAATCTACAACGAGCACTTCTATGACCTGCTAGACCCCAAGCGCTGCAACCTGCACGTGAGCACAGGGATGAGGGCTTAGGGTTTAAGGTGTAGGGTGCATGTGTCTTGAGACGTCTCACTTTCATCTGCACGTGCTCCTTCCTGGAAAGTTACAACGAGCACTTTCTGTATGATCTGCTGGACCTCAAGCGCTGCAACCTGCATGTGGTTCCAGGGTTCAGGGTTCAGGGTATAACGCTTAGGGTTTCAGGTGTAGGGCGAGCGTCTCACGTTCATGTGAACGTGCTCATTCCTGGATATTTACAATCCAGTCTTTATTCGCCTATCCATTCCTGTCACACACATTTGTAAGCCTCTCAAACACTCTTTCCTGCCTTCCCCCCCCCCCCCTCTTCCCCACGCCCTCCCCTTTTTGTCTCCCTCAGATCCGGGAGGGCCCCAATGGCGTTTATGTGGAGAATCTCACCAAGCAGCCGGTCACCTGCTTTGCTCAAGTCATGGAGCTCATCCAGCGAGTAAGTGGCCTGCTCTTATGCACAGAGATGCCTTCGAGTTGGCTCAAGGTTGTAACAGAGTGTTGACATCGGCGTGTCTGTGTGTGTGTGTGCAACTTTTGAGACGTCTAGAAAGTCGTCTACTTCTGAGTCGGCTCAATGTTGTAACAAAGTGTTGACATCGGTGTGTGTGTGTGTGTGTGTGTGTGTGTGTGTGTGCAGGGAGCGAAGAACCGGCGGGTGGCGGGGACGAACATGAACCGGGAGAGCAGCCGGTCTCACAGCGTCTTCACGTGCAACATCGAGAGCACGGTAAGTGCAGTGCTGGTGCTGGCAGGCTTGCGGAGGAGAACCGTGAGTGCCTGCCACTGGCAGCATTGAGAGCACATTGAGTGCTGCTGCTGCTGCTGCTGCAGACACACACATGCACAGATGGCAACACATACCTGGCGTACTGAGAGAGAGCAATGTGAGCGCTGATAGCACAGTGGGCACACTCATTGGGTGCCTCTTCCATGCTTACGTTCTCTCATGCATGCATCATGCAACAGCATGTGTGTGTGCATATGTGCAAGTATGCAGATGTGTGCGTGTCTTGACGTGCCTCACCACGCCTCCCATGTCTCCCCTTCCCTCCGCTGCAGTGGACGGTTGAGGGTATCAGCAATCGGCGCTTTGGTCAACTCAATCTCGTTGACCTAGCAGGCTCTGAAAGGTACCCCCTCCCATCCCCTCTCGCCATCTATTGACTTGCCTTTTGATGCTCTGAAAGGGTACCTCGCTTACCCTGTTGCACATCTTGAAAGGTATCCCTCATCCCCTCTTCCCATTACAAAGAGTACTTCCCACCCCACTCCACCCCTCAATTTCCCACTCCACCCCTCCCCACCCCACTGCGCTCCACCCCTGCCAGGCAGAAGTCATCAGGGGCCACAGGAGAGCGGCTCAAGGAGGCGAGCTCCATCAACACCTCGCTCTCCCAGCTCGGGTTTGTCACCTCTCATCCTTATCTGTGCATGATGCACCGTGATGCTGTATGCACGCATGCACACTGTTTAAAATGCTGAGGGGATGCTTTGAGGACATGAGCGGCTCAAGGAGGCGAGCTCCATCAACACTTCCCTCTCCCAGCTCGGGTTCGTCGCCTCTCTCCCTTGCCTGTGCGTGCCGAGAATGAGTGCTTCTATGTGAATTGCTGAGAGGACGCTTTGAGAGCATGTGTGGATCAAGGTGGCGAGCTCCATCAACACATCTCCCTCCCAACTCGGGGTTGTCGCCAGCCACTCTCCTCTTCTTAATATGCTGTGTGCACGTATGATGAAGGTCATTACGGTGCTAGTCGGATCAATGCCACTTATTCAATTGAGGGCCGGGCATCAGGTGGAGTCGCTACGCAAGCGCTTATCACATGTCATTTGTTTTGATTCCTGTGTCCCACAATCGTCTGTGTTTGTGTGTTGGTGTGTAACAGCAAGGTGATCATGGTGCTGGTGGAGTCGCTGAGGGAGAACAGGCCTCGCCACGTGCCCTACCGCGACTCCTACCTCACCTTTCTTCTCCAGGTGAACACCATGGCTTCTCCAGGTGAGGTTCCCTTTCCCCTCCAGGTAAATATTCTTGCCTCTTCTTCCTCCGGGTTTTCAATTCGCTCCTCCATGTGAATACCCTTCCTCCTTGCTCTTCCAGATGAATACTCTTCCTCCTTGCTCTTCCAGGTGAATACTCTTCCTCCTTGCCCTTCCAGGTGAATACTCTTGCTCCTCCTTCCACTCACCACCATCTCCGTGTGCAGGACTCTCTGGGAGGCAACTCAAAGACCACCATTATCGCGTGCATCAGCCCATTCGCAGGGTAAGCAGCAGGAATGCCAGCAGCAAGAGAGGTAAGCATGATAGCGAGCACGGGGCACGCACCTTCCCGTGACACTGCTGCCCGCTCACAACTCAGACTCGGCTCTTAAGTCTCCGTCCCCCACCTCCCTCCCTTGTCGTCCTTGAAGCCTTTTCTTCTTAGTTTTTCTCGTGTGACGCTCTGGCACATATCGCGTCCCTTGTGTAGCATGTCTCCCCTGCATGCATGCATACATGCCAAGATCGTGCTGTGAGTCTCACATCAGGGCAAGTTCTCGGGATGCCTCATCTCATGCATAATCTCTTGTTACCGTGCCTCGTGTGTGGCTGCATCCGCAGGTCATTCCGGGAGTCGCACAGTACGCTCAAATTCGCACAGCGGGCGAAGCTGGTGCATAACAAGGCAGTGGTGAATGAGGCTGCAGAGGGCGAGAAGGACGCTCTCAAGAAGGAAATCGCAAGGCTCAAGGTGCGATGCTTAGGTGTATTTTCAGTCGAGTCAGAATGCACAACAAGGCAGTGGACCGGTGGTGAACGAGGCTGCGGAGGGTAGAAAAGATGCTCTCAAGCACGAGCTAGCCGAACACAAGGTGCGTTCTGAGACAACTCAGCACAACTCCAAATGTCTCAGAGGGTGAGCATGACGCCCTCAAGCTGCGAAGCTCCCTGCCCCCTTATATGGCTCAGGGTGCGCACGGCAATGCTCACAGTCATGCACACGGTGCTCAAGGTGAGGCACAAGGTGAGCCTCTTCTTAGTCGACTCAACGCACGAAGAACAACCTTCAGGTGCATTTTGAGTTTGATGGATCCTCGCCTTGCCTGTCTCTCTTGTTTCTACTTATCTCCTTCCTAACGACACCTTCTCCTGTCATTCTCACTCCCTGCTGCCTCGTTTCCCTTCAACCATGCGTCCTCCCTCTTCTCCCCTCCTCTCCCACCATCCCCACACACAGGACGAGCTTCATCGACTGTACAAGCTCTGCACCTGCGAAGCCCGTTTGCTCCTCCCTGCCTCCTCCTCCTCGCCGCCCTTCTCCCTCCCTCACTCCCGCACCACCACACCCAGGACACCCCGCAACCCTGCCACCAATGCTGCTGGTACCTCCACCAGTGCTGCTGCCTGCTCCCCACTGGCAATAGCGTTGCAGGAGAGGGCGAACTCGCCCAGGCATGTGCAGCTGCTGGGGGAGATTGAGCGGCTGGAGCGGACGCTGGCGGGGTGCTTGCGCAGGGAGAGGGAGCTGGAGAGGGAAGTGGGCGTTCTGAGGGGCGAGAATGCGAAGCTGAGGAAGCAGCTCGCTGCTGCTTCCGCTGCTGCTGCTACTGCTGCTCGTGGTGGGGGTGGGAATCAGGTTGATGTGATGGGTGCTAACGGTGGTGCTGGTGATGCTGGTGGTGCAGAGGGAGAGGGGATGGAAGGAAGGTTGGCGACTGTGGAGGAGGGGGAGGAGGAGGAGGAGGTGGAGGAGGAGGGAAGTGGGTCGGAGGGTGTGCAGAGTGATATGGAGAATCTGAAGGATCAGGTGAGCACTGTGTAGTGTGGTTGAGCGAACTGGAGGGTCAGGCGAGCGCAGTTCGGTGTGAGAGGAGAGCAGTGCGGTGAGAGGGGAGAAGAATGCGGTGTGAGGGAAGAACAGTGTGGTGTAATGGGAGAGCACTGCGGAGTGTCTCCCGTCCTCCTGTGCATTACCTCCCCTGCCTGCCCTCCTTGCCTTACCTCCGCTCCCTGCCCCCCCTGCCCCTCCTGCCTTACATCCCCTCCCTTCTTCCTGCCATCCCTGCCCTCCCTGTCCTCCCATCCCTGGATTCTCCCCACACGTGTTCCTGCTCACCAGTTGGCGGAGCTGCTGGTGCAGAAGGCAGCAGCAAGGGGCAGCACTCCCATACCCCCTCCCTTTCAACCTTCCCCTCCATTTTCTCACCACACGTATTTCTCCTCACCAGGTGGCGGAGCTGTTGGTGCAGAAGGCAGCAGCGGGCGGGGGCCACGCGCAGGCGCGCATAGAGGAGCTCACGCAGGAGCTGCAGGGCGCACGGGCGGAGCTGGGTCGCTGCAGGGAGCACCTAAGGCTGTCTGATGCTTACCTCCCTGCCCCACTCCCTCTCTGCCCTCCCCCACTCCCTGCCCTCCCTGCCCCGCTTCCTCCCTGCCCTCCCTGCCCTCCCTGCCCTCCCTTCCTCCCCTACCCTCCTTGCCCTCTCCTTCGTTTCTCCTCACCAGGTGGCAGAGCTGTTGGTGCAGAAGGCAGCAGCGGGCGGGGGCCACGCGCAGGCGCACATAGAGGAGCTCACGCAGGAGCTGCAGGGCGCACGGGCAGAGCTGGGTCGCTGCAGGGAGCACCTACGGCTGTCAGATGCTGCTAACGAGCAGCTGGCGAGGTGAGAGACCGGCAAGATCCAGAGGGAAATGCAGGTATAGTGATGCTGGGGAGTGCGTGAGCAGCTGGCTCGCTGCAGGGAGCAGCTAGGGCGGGCTGTCGGAGCCGGCGAGCTGAGCGGCAGACAGTAGGTGACTCTTGAGTCGACGCAACAGCTGGCTCGCTGCAGGGAGCACACCAGGTGGATCCGTGCAGGGAGCGCGTAAGGCTGTCTGATGCTGCCAATGAGCAGCTGGCGAGGTGAGAGACGAATGGTGGATGATGGGTTAGGTGACTCTTGAGTCAACTCAAAAGCTGGCCGGGTGCAGGGGCGGAGATGCAGCTGCTGGCTGCTGAAAGTCTCAATTTATGCGCGCCATCCGCTCCCCCACCCCTTCATCCTTCCATCCCTCCGTCCTTCCATGCCTCGATCCCTCTTCTGCCCATCCAACAGGCAAACGAAAGAGATGGAGGCGGAGATGCAGCTGCTGGCTGCTCAGAACCTCTCTCTGGAAGAGCAAATCAGCTCTCTCAAGGCTCTAAACGCCAATACCTCCTCCTCCGCGTTCCAGAGAGGCCTCACCACACAGAAGGGAGGTCTTACCTCCGCACCCACTCCCGTCCCATCAGTCGCCCGTGCTGCTGCCCCCAGCACTCTCATTCCCACGCCTCTGGTCACCACCACTCGGGGCGCTCATGTCACCACTCCCAGCAGCGGCGGGTTTGGTACCGCACTGGGGGCAGGCATCAATAGGAATCTCGAGGAGGCGTTTTCTGGCGCCAAGGGGTTTGAGACTCCGCTTTCAACGAGGGGCAAGGGTGCTACAGCAGGAAGAGGCGGAGGCGGAGGGGGAGGAGGAGGGGGAAGAGTGGGAGGTATGGAATGTGTGGTTGACTGTAGGTCTTCACTCAGGCATGTGGGGAAGGATCAGGACCGGTTCAGGCAGCAGAGGTTGGATTTGGACTCGGCAATTAAAGGGAAACTCGAGGCAGAGTGGGCTAATAGCGCGCTCAAGGCGAATCTGAAGCTCCAGGAGCAGGAAGCGAGGGAGCTTGTAGAGAGGATGCAGACGGAGGAGGGGCGGAGGCACGAGGCGGAGAGGCTGGCGGAGGAAGCGGAGAGAGAGGTTCGGGAAGCGGCCGCCGCGGCTGCGGCGTTGGCTCGGGAAAAAGCTTCGGTGGAGGAGCAGCTGCGGGCGATTCAGGAACAGGTTCGGGCGCTGCAGGGTCGAGAGGAGCGGAGCGAGGAGGAGAAGAGGGATTTGGAAGAGGCGCTAAGGAGGGAGAGGGATTTGGGGGAGGAGGCGGCACAATTGGCGGAAGCAGAGTGGAAGAAGACTCAAGAGGCGACTGCTAGGAGGATTGCTGCAGAGAGGAGCCTTCAGAGGACGATGGATGAGGCGAAGAATCTGCGGGGATTGCTGGATGATTCGGAGGAGACGAAGGCCAAGTATGTGAGGTTGAAGCATGAGCTACGGGCGGCGTTACAGAGGCTGGTGAAGGCGGCGGAACAGAAGGTGGAGGATGAGAAGGCGTTGGAGAGGATGAGGGAGGAAATGGGTGCGGTGAGAGCGCAGGTGTTGAGTGCAGGGGAGAGGGCGGAGGAGGCAGAGAGGAGGGTGAGGGAGGGCGGGGTGGTGGGTGCGGGAGGTGAGGTGGGGGAAGGGGGAGTTGGGGCGGGTGTTGGGGGGGATGAGGTGGCAGGTGGGGAGGGTGACGTGGTGGATGCGGGGAGTGAGGTGGCAGGAGGAGAGGTGAGGGTGAGCGAGGGGGAGGAGGTAGAGAGGGAGCAGGCACAACGGCTAGTGGATGAGCTTATGAGGAAGGTAGAGGAATTGGAGGAGAACGGGCGGGAGGCGGAGAGGAGGGCGGAAGAGGATGCGGTGAGACTGGCGGAGGCAGTGAGGAAGGTGCAGGAGGCGCAGGAAGAAGCGGCTTTGGCAGGGGAGAGAGTGAGAGAGAGGCTGGAGGAAGAGGAGAGTGTGAGAGCGAGGCTGGAGGTTCTGGAGGGTCTGATGCAGAGTGAGGAGGCAGAAGCTGTCAGGGCGAATGCAGAGGTGATGTTGCTGCAGGGGATACTGGAAGATATGGAAGGTATTGGTCGGTTTGGAATGGTGAAGATGGAAGGAGAAGGGGGGCTGGAGCAGGGGCAGTCTCGGGAAGAGCTGGAGGGGGAGTTGTTGCAGGTGCGAGAGGAGGTTGAGGGGAAAGAGGAGGAGATTCGGAGGCATAAGGAGGAGTTGGAGAGGAGTCGGAGGGAGTTGGAAGAGGTGACGGTGAAGCTGGGAGTGTGGGAGGACACGTGGGGGGCCTGGGAGACTCACCGGCAAGAGGTGCAATATCCAGGGGGATGTTGGTATGACATGGGTGTGAGGTATAACTGGGGGAGGGTGGTTCTGGAGCTGGTACAGCGAGAGCTGAGGGGGGTGAAGGAGGGGAAGGAGAGGGCGGAGGAGGAGAGGAGAGAGGCGGATGAGGCAGTGTGGAAAGCGGAGAAGGAAGTGAGGGCTTTGGTGGATGAGAATGGGGTGCTGAGGGGGCGGTTGGGGTTGGAGGAAGGGGATGTGGTTCCGGTGCCGGGGAAGGGGAGGAGAGAGAGCTTTGAGCTTGCAATTGGGGCGCTTAGAGCGAGGATTTGGGATGGGAGGGTGAGGGAGAGGGAGTTGGAAGGGGAGGAAGCGAGGGTGGAGAGGGAGAGGAGGGTGGTGGAGGAGAGGAGGAGGGAGGTGGAGGAGAGGAGGAGAGAGGTGGAGGAAAAGAGGAGGCGGGATGAGGAGGCGGGTGAGGGGGGTGTGCTGGGCGAGGAGGGTGTGCTGCAGGAAGAGAGGGATCGGGATGAGATATCATCAGAGATGGAGGGGATAGGAGTGGGGAGTATCGAGCGGGAAGAGGTGTTGGGAACGGGGGAGATGGGGGAGATGGGGGAGTTGGCGGAAATGCCTGAGGTGGCGGAGATGGGGGAGAAGGGGGAGGTCACACCGGCAGTGCAGGCAGAGGGGGAAGGGCAGCGAGCGAAGGAGGGTAGGGGGCAGACGGAGGATGAGAGAAGGATGGAGGAGGAGCGGCTGAGAGCATCGTCTGCTGCTCTGGAGGGGCAGGGAGCACAGATGGATGCTGAATTGGCAGGGTTTAGGGCGGAGAGGGAGAAGCAGAGGAGGGAGGTGGAGCAGATGCGAGCAGTAAGGGAGGTTCTGGAGCGGGAAAGGTGGCTGTTGGATCAGAGGGGGGAGTCTGGGGTGGAGGAGAAGGTGGAGAAGGAGAAGGAGAATGGGGAGGAGGAAAAGGGGAAAGGAGAGGATGAGGGGGAAAGGAGGAGCGAGGAGAAGGGAGATGGGGAAGGGGTTGGGTGGGAAGAAGGTGGGGAGGAGCATGGGATGGGGGTCCTGAGTTCTCCTGTTCGTGCTGCCGACGTGGGAACAGATGGGGTGTCAGCAGTGAGCTTGCAGCAGCCACATGCCACTCCAGTGCTCTTCTCGGCTTCTCGTGAACTGGGGAGAGGGAGGCAGGGTGGGAGAATGAGCTTGCCTGCACGTCTGGATGGAAGTGTGGTGTGTGCTGCTGGCGGTTTGGAGAGTGGGAGGGAGGGAGCGGTGGGGAGTGGTGATGAATGGTGGAGTGGGAGGATGGAGAGGGAGAGGGAGAGGGAGATGGAGATGGAGAGGAAGGAGGGCGAGGTGAAGCAGCTGGTGAAGCAGATTGAAGTTCTTCAGAAGGAGGTGCGTACTTGGGAGATGTCCCACAACAACTTTCACCTTTTCTAGCACTGCATTGTGAAAGCCTGGCCATGCCCCTATCGCTCTCAACTCGCCCCCCTTCCTGTCCATGCCCCCATCCCTCTCATCACCCATCCCCCATCCCTCTCATCCCCGCATTACCCCATCCCTCTCATCCCCGCATTACCGCATCCCTCTCATCCCCGCATTAACCCATCCCTCTCATCCCTCCGATAGCCCTTATACCTGCAGAACCATACACTGCACGCCCAGATGAGAGCGTCAGAGCAGTCAGTGCACGGGTCACGCTCTGCCATGAGCACTCCAGCACAGGCGTGTTTCCATTCTCGCTGCTCTTTCCCATGCCCCCATCTCTCCAGTCCATACCCCCAGAACCGCCTGCTTCACGCCCAGCTGTGTGCATCGGAGCAGTCAGTCAGTCCGCGGCTCACGCGCTGCCATGAGCACTCCACCGCAGATTTTCCTTCATCACAACCCAACCTTCCCGTGCGCCTATCCTTCCCATCCCTCCCATCCCTCCCGTCCCTCCCATCCCTACCAGAACCGCCTGCTTCACGCCCAGCTGTGTGCATCGGAGCAGTCGGTGCGCGGCTCACTCGCTGCCATGAGCACTCCAGCTCCCACGCGGGCAAGGAGCAGACGAAGCACACAAGACGGGTCACCTGGAGCGACGGATATGAGCATGAGCATGGGCATGGGCATGGGCATGGGCTCCATTCTTGAAGCAGCAGGATCGGCATCAGAGTCGGGTATTGGAGGCAGTGAAGCGGCTGCGGATGGGGGATGCTCGCCTGATGCAGCAGGTGCAGCAGCAGGAGGGGCAGCAGTGGAACTGCTAAAGGCGAAAGCACTGAGGAGGCACCAGCAAGTGCTGCAAAAGGTGGGTTGCCGCGCTCAGGTGTTGAGGCGCCTCAGCAAACAGGTGATGCATTGAGTGGGTTGGTGGCCTTGGTTGTTACTCCCACTCCCAGAATGTTCCGTGCTCTCCTCCTCAATCATGCACTTCACGTGGCACAGTTTTTTTAGTTGATTTACTGCACAGGCGAGTTGGTGGCCTTGTTTATTACTACGGCAGCCCCACTCCCAGAATGTTCCATGCTCTCCTCAATCATGCACTTCACGTGGCACAGATGGCTCCTTCAATCAGCAACCCTGCCATGGTGGCAAGTTTTCCCTCCACCCACGCCCTCTCGTCCCCTCCTTGTCGCCTTGCCTCCATCAGGACCATAGATTTTCTGCCAACGTGCTTGCCTTCGTCCTTCCCTTCCCTGTCCCTTTCCTTCCGACCTCTCCTCCTCATTGCTTCTTCTGCCAGGATCACGAGATCCGCCAGCTTCCAACGTCCATGCCTTTGCCCATTCCCTCACCTTGTCTTCGTCCTTCCCCTTCCTTATCTCTCCCCTTTTGAACTCCGTCCCTCGTTGCTTCTTCTGCCAGGATCACGAGATTCGCCAGCTTCGCACGCAGCAAGACCTCCTCCTTCACGAGAAAGACAAGTACGTCAACCTTGCCTTCTCATCTGCCCTCTCAGCTCTGAAATCCCTTTCTCATTGTCGAGAACAAGACATACGCCACCCTTCTTCTTTTCACCTGCTCTCTCTCTACTCGGATCCTTTTCCATTCTTAAAAAAGAGGTGTATCTCGACCGTTCCTCATTCACCTCTCTGCTCCGCTCCTCAACCTTCCGCTTTCCCAGACACTCCTCATTTCATCCATTCCCCTCTCCTCTGGTGTTGCTTGCAACAAGCATTAAGAACTTGCACTTCTGGAAACACTTTGTCACTGGCTTCTTCCTTGGAGGATTTTCAACACCCACTTACACGGCGTTCGGAACTCCCGATCTGTGCTTTCCCAGCATCCATTTCATGCTAATTCTGGTAGTGAAGATGCAGCGTGCAGGAAACACGGTTTGATGTGGTGCTGTGGCTATGCATTGCGGTTTCTGTTTCTCATATATTCCCTAGAGTTTTCTGTCCGCCCCATCCTGATCACACTCATTCTGTCCGTTTCTCATACATTCCCCATCCCGCCAGATTTCTGGTGGAGATACAGCAGATTCGGTCAGAGGCAGTGCTGCAGAGGAGCATGGCGGACAAGTGCATGCAGAAGAACCACACGCTCACGCAGGAGAATGCTCACCTCAAGGTGAGAGGCGCTTGATGGGTTGAAGGTAGTGCTTCAGCAGGAAATGCAGCAGAAGGGGGCAGCACAGCAGTCGGAGGCAGTGCTGCAGAGGAGCATGGCAGACAAGAGCCTGCAGAAGAATCACGCGCTCTCCCAGGAGAATGCTCACCTTAAGGTGAGAGCGGGTTTCTATAACTCCTCAGAAACAGTTTCTTAGTGCAGCAGCTACATCCAGCACAGCAGCAATCAGTGCAGCGGTCAGAAGCGGTCAGCATCTGCGGCATGCAGTGCTGCAGAGGAGCATGGCGGAACGGATTACTGGGAGAGGGACCAGGCGCTTTTCCAGAAGAGTGCTCAGCGTGAGATTGTGCTTCTAGGGCGTCTTAGAAACTGTCTTTTGGTGCAGTGCAGCAGCAGGCACTGCACTGCAGCAGTGGCATCCAGAGCGACAGCGCAAGGCAGTGGTTCAACAGAAAACATCCCTTCCACCCTCCTCTCTCCTCCCCCACCAGCAAACAACTGGAGGGCGTGCAACAGCAGTTGTTAGGAGGCAGAGGGCGAAATGGAGAGGCCGGTGTGAACCATTTTCTTGATTTATGGTTCTTTTGCCTCTTCCCCTTTTCGTGGCTCCTTCCCCTAACCCAGCAACAAGTGGTGGACGTGCAGCAGCAGTTGGAGAAGGTGGAGTGTGCTGGCGAGGGAGATACTCGGGTTTGGCCTCTCCTGTTCGTCCCGTCACCCTTTGTTTTCTCTTCTCTTCTCCTTTCCTTTCGCTCATCTTTCTACCCCACCCCAGCAACAACTGGAGGGCGTGCAGCAGCAGTTGGAGAAGGCAGAGGGCGAGCTTGTGGGGCTGGTGGGGCAGCACAACCCGAAACAGCGCATTCACACGTTTTCCAAGGTCAAGGTGAGGCATAGTCAGAGGGTTCGATCTTCCAAGCTGAGGGTGGGTTGATGTTGGAAGAAACGAGAGAGGGAGCTGGCGGGGCTGGTGGGGCAGCACAACCCGAAACAGCGCATTCACACGTTTTCCAAGGTCAAGGTGAGGCATAGTCAGAGGGTTCGATCTTCCAAGTTGAGGGTGGGTTGATGTTGGAAGAAAAGAGAGAGGGAGCTGGCGGGGCTGGTGGGGCAGCACAATCCAAAACTGCGCATTCACACGTTTTCCAAGGTAAAGGTGCGTTAGGGTGTGGAGGGGTGTGAATGGGGAGAGACCTTTGAGTTGACTCGGGTGTCACCTCACGAACTGGCGCGGCTGGTGGTGCAGCACAAGCCGAAGCAGTGCTAGATTTATCGTGAATGGTCATCCTTCCTTCAGCTTGTGCTGCACGTGTTTTCCAAGGTCAAGGTACGAGATTAAGGGAAGGATGGCTATTCCAGATTAGAGTGGGGTGAACTGCAGATGCTGGTGGGGCAGCACAGCCTAAACCAGCGCATTCAAGCTCAAGGTGTGTGGGGGTGTGGAGGGTGGTTTAATACCACAGCTTGAACCACTGCAAGTGTTTTCCAGGCTGAGGGTGGGTTGAGCTGGCGCGGCTAGCAGCAGCAGCGAATTGTGTTGTGTAGCAGGGGACGTGAATCCACGCCATCGCGAACCCCCTTGCTTTCCCTTTCCACCTCCACTTTTCCGTTTCTTTCCACCTGCTCAGGCAGACAACGTTGCTCTGAGGGCGCAGAACGAGGAGCTGAGTTTTGAGTTCACTCAAAACTAAACTTACTTTTGAGTTCACTCAAAACTAAACCTTCCACCTGCTCAGGCGGACAACGTTGCTCTGAGGGCGCAGAACGAGGAGCTGAGTTTTGAGTTCACTCAAAACTAAACTTACTTTTGAGTTCACTCAAAACTAAACCTTCCACCTGCTCAGGCGGACAACGTTGCTCTGAGGGCGCAGAACGAGGAGCTGAGTTTTGAGTTCACTCAAAACTAAACTTACTTTTGAGTTCACTCAAAACTAAACCTTCCACCTGCTCAGGCGGACAACGTTGCTCTGAGGGCGCAGAACGAGGAGCTGAGTTTTGAGTTCACTCAAAACTAAACTTACTTTTGAGTTCACTCAAAACTAAACCTTCCACCTGCTCAGGCGGACAACGTTGCTCTGAGGGCGCAGAACGAGGAGCTGGCAGCAACAGTGAAGCATATGGAGGGGCGGGTGAAGTTACTGTCTCAACCGCTTGTCTCCTCCCCTGCGTTCCTCCCTCTCCCCACACAGGTGGAGAACAGCGCTTTGCGGGCACAGAACGAGGAGCTGGCAGCAACAGTGAAGCGAATGGAGGGGCGGGTGAAGCCACTCTCTCAACTCCTCTCTCCCTTCCACCCTTCGCCCTTTTCCTCCCCCACACTCCCTCCACGCTTCCCCCCCCTCCCCTAAGATTCTTTCTTGCACAGGTGGAGAACAGCACTCTGAGGGCGCAGAACGAGGAGCTTGGAGCAGCAGTGAAGCGCATGGAAGGGCGGGTGAAGCCACAATCCCAACCCCTCCTCTCCTTCCCCCATCTCTGACGACCTCCTTTCCCCCTCACACAGGTGGAGAACAGCACTCTGAGGGCGCAGAACGAGGAGATGGCAGCAGCAGTGAAGCGCATGGAGTTGCGAGTGAAGCGGCTGGAGGAGGAGGTGGGGCGGCACAGGAAGAAGGCGGGGCAGGCAGAGAGAATTGATTTTGATGAGGAGGCGAGGCTGCAGCAGCGACTGGAGGTGGGTGATAGTGTTGGTGGTGGTGGTGGGATGTAGCACCAGAGGGGTTAGCACAGGCGCAAGGCGGGGCAGGCAGAGAAAATTGATTTTAATGAGGAGGCGAGGCTGCAGCAGCGACTGGAGGTAAGCAGTGGTGATGGGTCCGTCTAAAGGTGGGGTTGTGTAGCTTTTGAGAATTCTCAAATGTCATACCAGCATGAGAGGAAGGGGGGGCAGGCGGAGAAGATTGGCTATGATGAGGAGGCGAGGCTGCAGCAGCGACAGGAGGTGGGTGGGTGGGTAAGGGGAAGGGAGGAGTGCGAGTGTAGAACCAGGGGTTAGCACAGGGGCAAGGGCGGGACAGGCGGAGAGGATTGATTGGCTATGATGAGGAGGCGAGGCTGCAGCAGCGACTGGAGGTGGGTGGTGGGTGGTGGGTGGTGGCGGTCCAACTTCTGCCTCTTCCCTCCTCCCCTCTTCCCCTATAGGGCTGAAGACCCCCCCAAGCTGCCCATTTGGTCAAACTGTGTTTCTCTGCTCCCTGCATACCCGGGTTCCCCTTTATTGCAGGAGGTGGAGAGGGGCAGTGCTGACGTGGCACAGAAGCTGCTCACTGTCTGCCAAGCTGTCCTCCAGGTCAGTGCCACGTCCTCACGACCCAGTTGCATTTCTCTCGCTACGAGTCACCTCACTCACTTCAACTGAGCTCATTGCTTTGACGCGGATTTGACATGCTGCAGCAGCTATGCGTGAAACTCGTTTTGAGTTTCACATGACACTCTGCTCCCTCTGTGCCTCTGTCTTTGAGGCGCCACATAAATATATTTCACATGCTGCTGCCGTAGCTATGCGTGGATTGCTATGAGTTTCACATGGCAATCTGCTCCATCTGTACCTCTCTGCCCATGCAGATAACTGAGGGTGCAGCAGATACAGAGAACGGCGGTGAGAGCAGCAGCAGCAGTGGTGGAAGCAGCAGTGTGGGAGAGGGGACGTTAGGTGCGGACCCATCGGGTGCGGCCCTAGCGGCTCTGAACGCTCTCAAGTTCAGGATCAAAGCTGCAGACGACGAGATCAGCGACCTCAAGTTCCAGGTGAGTAGCTGGGCTTGGTGACTTGTTTGCTCGGAGTGTAACCCTTGCTGCTCTGAGCTCGCTCAAGCTCAGGATCAAGGCTGGGAGGATGAGATCAGCGATCTCAAGTTTCAAGTGAGTACTGGGATCAGTAACACCCCTTGTAACACCTGTGCTCAGGGTGTTTTTGAGAGGCTAAAATAATGTTTGGTGACTTTGATGCTCAGTGCGCTGGGGGCTTGTGCAAGTTTGCCACTTGCTTTTTGAATGTTGAAGTATGACATGGTTTCTTGGCTTGCTGTCAATGCAAGCCCCTTTCCTCTCCCCACCTCTCCCGTCCCTGCTCTCACCCACCCTCTGCCTTCCCCTCTCCCTTACCCTCTCTCCCCTCCTCTCGCTCCCCTCTCAATTTTCCTCACTTCTCTCCTCTCCCATCTTGACTCTGTCCTCTCACATCCTCCACAGGCACGCATGGCCGCAGAAAAGGCAGACCTATGTGAGCTCCGAGAAAAGAACTCCATCGGTCACACGGCACAAGTGCTCTCTCCTCCGCTTCCACCCCAGTTCTTGCCAACGCTCGACTCCATTCCTGCATTGGCGGATGAAAATGCACCTGCTACTGTTGAGGCACCCTGATGGGCTTTCATCTTCTCCCACCTCTTACATATGTTTGACCAGGCCCCTAGATTCGTTTTGAGGTAGTCTGAGGCCTCAGAGTACACTGCTCTTCCTAGTCTGGCTGTCAGAGTGACCTGATTTTTTAAGTCTGAGATTTCAGACTACACTTGCACTTCTACGCTGAACATACAGAGTCAGTCAATTTTCTTGTTATAATGAAAACACTAAGTAACCTTCTTACATTTCTTGATAGTCTAATACAGGTTCACGTTCTACTACTGCCTCGTCTACAGGCTCCTTCCCAGCCCACGAGGGCTCCTCTTTGTGCCTTGCAGCAGGTGCTGTGACCGGCCGGCGCTTCTTGTAGCTGCGCCATATCTCTACTACTCCTGGGACATCTAGCTCATAGTCTAGGAGTGAAATACAGAGCAGATCACTCAGCCTACAGTCCTTAATGCTGCCCCTCTGCCACGTTTTGATGAGATTCTGTCGGGAGAAACCGCGCTCGCACTCGACCGTGCTGAGAGGCAGCACCGCAATCGCCACCCACAGTCCAACCAGGTTGGGGTACGCCTGCTGCCAGTCGGGTGTCCTGAGCATCGCACTAAGTCCCGTGTGGAACTTGCGCTCGCTCTTGGGGGCTCTGGCAAGGACCGGACACAGTGTGCGCAGCTCCCTCACGGCTTTTTTCTTGTCAATGCCTGCAAGGCAAAACGAGACACGGGTTAAGTAAACGAGCCATAGCCAAAGGGGGAAAGGGGCGGGGTGACACAAAACCATACCAGGTAGTATCTCGTCGGCTTCATCTGCGCGAAACAACGTGACAAGCGACATCAGCCACTCCAGGCACTGTGCCTGCCGTGCGTCCCGGCCCCAGTGAGGTTGCCACATCTTCGGAATAAACAGCCGCACTCCGGAAAGTGAGTCAAGGTCGCCGAGCTTGGACTGGAGCTGCTCGACAACGAGCTCGGCCATGTCGGTGCAGAGCGCAACGCAGGCGTGGTGATGACCAGGCCCACGATAGCTTGGGTTTGTGCGTTCGTGAAGCTTCACCTTGAAGCGGTTCATACTGCCGTCGGACGATGATCCTTCCACCACCATTTCTGGTGTCCCTCCCGGACCGTGCTTCTCAATGAAGCGGTAGAGCCTCTCGGTCGCCCCCCCCCCCCCCCCCCCCCCCCCCCCCCCCCCGAAGTCGTCTCCACAATCGACGTACCGAGCCTCCAGGATCGATGTGGTGCGCACAATCTGCGTGTGCACCAGCGCGTAGTCGAGCTGCATCACAAACATACAAAGAGAATTAGTACAATGGGTCTCGAACTTAAACCAATACAATCTACACCCTCAAATTCACTTACTTCTCGCTTCTGAAAAACTGAGGAGAGGACGTTGAGCTGCTCCAGCATGTCCGCGAGGAACCTGATGAGGAACTGGAACCTGTACGACGTGACGAGTTCGTACATGGTCTGGTCCTTCCACTCCGACAACATGACCATGATGGCAGGTAGGACTTGGACGAAGCGGGCAACTGCAGCTCCTCTGGACAGCCACCGCACGTCGTGTATGCCTTGGACCTCGAGGATGGTGGACGTGAACACCTCCTAGAGCTCCATGAAGCGCTGATGCCACGGCCCTGATTGCCCGAGGTACTCTGCGACGGCGCGGATCACGTCGTCGACCATGTTGAAGGTGGGTATCTTCTCCGCTGCGGCCTTGGCAGCCAAGGCCTCCCTGCCAGACAAAACCACACATGCACGGTTAGTTTTTCATAAAACAAACAGATTTGCCGTTTACACATGGCGTTAAAACACAAACGCACCTGTGAGCGATGCAGTGAAACGAGACCAGGTTGGGGATGAGCATTCGCAGACGAGCAACCACACCGTTTTGACTCCCCACCATCACAGGGCGCCATCCGTGCTCACTCCCGAGATACGCCGGAGGTCAACGCCGACTGCCCTGAGGTGGGAAAGCAACAAACTGCACAAAGATGCAGCGTCAGCCCTATCAACCGTTAAATGCGCGACGAACTCAGTGACAACTCGGCCTTCGCGGAGAAACGTGGCAAACACAATCATGTGCTTGCCGCGCCGACGGTCGGTGCTCTCAACGAGCGTTATCCCGATGAAAGGGCTCGAGAGGAGGTGCTCCAGTTGCGTTGTCTGAAGCCATGTCGCAATGGCTTGAGTGAGCTCTCCAAAGCCGTACCTACAGAAGGAAGACAAGGTCGTTAGTGACGGTCAGCAAGGATACAACGTTGTACACACGGGACACACATAAGAATTTACGTACGTGTTATAGTATGTGCCGTATCCCTGCTCGGGAAACCCGGGCACTTTCTTCTTCGCCAAGTAGCGCACGAGCCGGATCCACGAGTCCATGGGCTCGTTGCACTTCCCCATGAAGTACAGCGCGTCGACGAGCGACGACACCTGCAGCAGCTCCATGACTTGCGCTTTCGGGTGCATGTCGATGCGCTACTGCCGCCCGTACTTCTGCAGCAAGTCCTCTTGGCGCTGCAGAGCAAATCGGTGCTTCACCGTCCCTTCGTGCTTCTTGAAGGACTGTGTCTGCACGTCTGTAGCTCCCTCGGTACGCCGCCCACACTTGCCTTTCAATCCCGCAAACTCCAGGCAAATACTGCACTTGAAAGAAGGGGCACCAGAAGAGGTCTTAGTTAGAACAAGCCAACTGTAATCGGTGGACCACTTCGATTTGAATCTCTCATGCGCTTCCTCGTATTTCAACTCAGGATTATCGGATTTGGGCTTTGACCTGTCCTGCGTGGGCCTCGGGCTGCCCTGCGTGGGCATGGAGCTGTCCTCCATGAGAGAATCGTCGCCCGCAGGAGTTACAACGGTCGATGGAGGAGGCGGAGTGGCCCAACCAAGGGTGGACTGCCGGTACCGCAGCTTTGACGGTGGCGCGGGACGAGAAGGTGCACCAACAGACGCCTCATGGGGCACCGCCTGTTGCGCAGCGGTCGCTGGTTCAGTGACGGCCTCGTGCAGAGATGTGGTGTCTCTGGGAATAGGTGGGCGGCTCGAGCTAGGTTGCGACGGTGGCGTTGGAGGTGGATTGTGCTTCGGTAGGACAGACCTAAGAAAATCTAGACCGGTGAGAGGGTCGGATACTGGGCCGGATACTGGGCGACCGATTGCATCATCCTTGTCGTCGGGCCCATCCGCGACAGCCTCTGTAACTGCCATTGAGCCTGCCGAGCAGAGGAGTAGCGAGCTAGGAGGTGGGAGCCTGAAACAAGGGCTCCTACACTAGTTTGAGTCCAGGCAAATGGAGCGGGCCATGAGAGGGACTACAAGAACGGTGACCAAGAAGAAGATGAGAAACCCTCGTGTAATAGGACCTCCCATCTCCCAGAAGGTCATTGCATGCACTGCACCTGGGCATGAATCCTTGGAAGGTGGGGTGATTGGGGTTGATGGATGGAGTCACGTGAGAGAAGCAGCGTGGTGCAAGCCCTGCGTTGGCAACTGGGAAGGTGGGGTGGGGTGGATGGACGTGGTGACGTGAGAGTGGCAGGGCGCTGCGAGCTATGCGCTGGCAATGAGAAAACTGAAACGAGAATGAATGAACTATGAAACAGTTGGGTACAAGTACTAACCCTAATTGGGTTGTACCCCTTATGGGCTACCCCACTATAGCCTACACAAATGTATAAGCTATAATGTTCTGACACACCCCCATAGGCAAAGTGGGGGAGAACAAGGGGTCACAAGACCAGTCAAGCAAAGCAAAGCAAGCTCAGGGCGGATCACAAAGTCACCACACATTCCGAGCACAAGTTCAAGGCCACAAGGCCAGTTCACATGCAGGATTACATATATATATAAGGCTAGACAAGCAAGAGCAGGTGTATAAATATATGTAGCAGTACAAACAAGGTCAAGGGGTGAGCAAGTGAGGCAAGGCAGACACAAGACCCAGCTGAGTACAAAAGCACTGATGATCACAAGGCACAAGTGCCTTGGTGAAGATATCAGCAGTGTTGGCCTAAGAGGCCACGTACGCAAGGCGCAGCTGACCACGCTGCTGTAGCTCACGAGCAAGGAAGTAGCGAAGAGCAATGTGCTTCATTCTGTGCTCCAGTCTCTGCTCCCGACACAAGGCCAGCATGGCCTTGTTGTCTACGTACAGCACTGGAGGAGAACGAGGCGGCTCTCCTAGGTCAGTCAGCAGGTAGGTGAGCCAGCGAAGCTCCTGTGCAGCCATGGCCCCTGCGTAGATCTCAGCCTCACAACTGGAGCCGAGAACAGAAGACGAGCGGGTAGCCCGCAACGAAACAGAGCCGGAACCAAGGCTGAAGGTGTAACCCTGTGGCGACCGCTGCGTAGCCTGGTCGTCAGCCCAAGAAGCGTCTGCGTGCCCAGTGAGGACCACTGGACTCTGCCCTCCAAGCACAAGCCCCATGCCCGACGTACTGCACAAGTAGCGCAACACCCTCTTCGCTGCAGCCATGTGCTTTGGTTTGTGTTTTCTAGGAGCAACATAGCGTGCGAGAATGCTAAGAGGGTATGCAAGGTCAGGTCGTGTGCAGGTCATCAGGTACATGAGGCAGCCAACAAGCTCTGCGTACGGGCCACTCGACTCTACGGACTCATCCGAAGGCAGAGCTGAGAGCGAGTGGCGAGTAGGTAGAGGAGTGGCATGAGGCGAGGAGTACGTGAAGACGAAGCGCTGAAGGACCTGCTGCACCATGTGTGACTGAGTCAGGGTAATGGTGCGGCGTGCTCTGTCCCGGGTGATCTGCAAGCCAAGGTAGCTGCGCAGTTCACCCAGGTCTGTGCACGTGTGTCTCTTCTGCAACTCGGACTTCACGTGGGCGAGTCCAGCAGTGTCAGCTGTGGCAAAGACCAAGTCGTCGACGTACACGAGGATGTAGAACGGCGGCAAAGAAGTGTCGGTGCGCAGAAATAGCGACGGGTCGGCAGTAGAGGGAGCAAACCCAAGAGCCGCAAGCGTAGTCCTCAGTGTGTCGTGCCACTCACGCGGTGCCTAGC